GCACAGAAGGGACAGTTCCCTCCAGCCAGCACCGGCACCAGCTCAGGTGTAGGAAAGCAGGTTGACATCATAGCAGCCATCCACCTGGGAAAGAGAGCAACTGTCGGTGTCTGCACAGCATAGTCACTTCCAGGACACCCCAACTCTATCCTACTGGGAGCAGTCTCTGGGAGGTCTCCCCAGCCATATGGCAAGGCCGTGGTCCCCGTGAGCAGGGCGGTGGGACTCACATCGAAGCGCCCAATGCGGGCAGCTGCCTGGCGAGCCCGGATCACCTCTGTCAGCACCCACATTTGCTGGACCTCCGTTGACACCTTCTCCGGGTCAGGGAGCTCCTGGAAAGAAGTGGGCACAATGATGTGGAGTGGGGAAGGCCTGGATGGGCTGGGTCACTCCACGTTTAGGCAGTGGTGTGGCTGGATGGCTGTGCCCCAAGGGAGCCAGGCACTATCACATGGTGCCCAAGCTCCTGACCTGCTGGTGGTTTCCCAACCCGGGGTGAGCAGGGCCCCTTTCAAAACAAGCAGCTGGGGGAGTGGGTGACCCTGATCCCTGAGTACTGTGGTGCGAACACAGCCCGTCTCTGCTGGCAGGTGGCCAGTGTGAGAACAGAAAGCCAATCACTGGCTAATGATTAAAAACCTAACCACATAGTCCAGAGTTTCCCAACAGCCTACCTCCATCGCACTCCCCAGGCTCAGGGACACAAACCCAGCCACAGGTGCCAGTTCACCCTGAAGACCTTTAGCCAGGCAGGACTTGTGGCCTAGCAGCTGCTCTCCCAGTTAAGGCACAGCTCTGTGGCACTGAGTCAAGTAGTGGGTGGCCCATGGTGATGCTGGGAACGGTCAAGCCCAGAGCAATGCCTGGCATCTCCCCTAGATACCCCTTACTAAGGGGAACATGTTCCAAGCAATCAGCAAGGGACTGGGGTGCCCTCCCCAAACTGTCACACAGTTCGTCAGGGACCAGACCAGCAACCTCACTGCCAGTGCAGTGTGAGCACCGTAGCACTGAAGCCCCATGGCAGAACTGTTCTGGCAGTGCTGGGCGATGTGCCACCCTCCTGCAGGCAGCACCTCCAGCTGATTCAGAAGGTTCCCATGGGTGAGCCAGCTCTCAACCCGGCCCTGCTCTGCCTGAACTTTGCCCACCGAAGGCCACCAGCCAGGCAGATGTGACTGGCAAGCTGCCTGTGTGCTGTCCCAACTGGGCAAGGTGCTCCCCAGGGTCCAGGGAGCTGGTCCCCAGTTGCTCTGTGGAGCACTCCCACCCCCTGCAGAGTGCCAGGGACCAGCCAGACCACCCAGTCCCCATGCATCCCACCCACCACTGAGCCACACCGTGCACCCACTACTCCCATAGGGATGTTATTGTCCCTGTCCCCATGTGTCCCACTCACCAGCTGAACCACGCTGCACACCCACTGTTCCCGTGGCGATGTTCCTGTCCCTGTTCCCATGTGTCCCACCCGCCAGTTGAGCCATGCTGCACACCCATTGCTCCCATGGGGACATTCCTGTTCCCAGACTGGAAAGCAGGTAGACTTAAGTGTCACCTCAAATCACACATTCCTGTGGACATATTTTTCTTCTGAACACTACAAACTACTTCCAGCACCAGGTAGGTTATTTTGGGGCTCTATGGCTATTCCTGGTGGGAGTCTGGAGCTGACAGGGCAGGGATGGGCCTGGCAGCCTCACGAGCGATGCTCACGGCTGCCACCCCACATGGGTCCCCCATTCTCCCCAGTAACGCAGCGGGGATCACTCACCCTGTGCAGGCTGGCTGGCTGCTCTGGAGGAGTCAGTTGGGAGAGCCAGGAGGGGAAATCCTTCTGGAGACTCTGAAACAGATCCAGAGGGTCACACAAAGGTGTCCCCCATCCCACTTCCATTTCTCACACCATGTAGCATGCTGGAGTTTGTAGCCCATCCCTAGTGATATTGCTATGGATGTGTCACTTTACTGTTACTAAATACAATTTTGTTTTTTGAGTGGTTGTTTGCAACCTGAAATTTGTTGCAGCCATGTCCAGCTCAATTCCACTGCTCAACCACCCACCTCTGACAGGACAGGGCTGGGGCTGGCCACAGTGGTCCCTTCCCCATCCCCAGAGCATGAGAGGAAGTGTCCCAGCGAAGGACAAGGACTTTGACCCACACTCCTGAGTCCTCCAGAGGGAGTCTGAAACCCCTGGAGCTACTGGGAACAATGCCACGAACAGGGCTGGGGACAGTGGCCTGTCCTGGTCCCCCTGTCCACGCCTGTCAGGGAGGCAGCGCCAGCAGCTACTCACCTTCTGTCCTGGGGGGAATATCTGCAGCTCCTCGATGGTGAAGTGGAGCCAGACCGGAGAGGGCTGCCGCAGAATGAACCGCATCGCCGTCACCTGGTCCATGTCACACAGCATCTGTGGGGCAAGGGCTGGGGAATGACACCGTGGGGGCTGGCACCAATCAGGGGCAGCTTTAGGCATTTCCTCCAAAAAAACCCCAACCCACCCCAGATGGAAGGAAGCGTCACCCTGTGGTGGCTGTCTGGGCTGAGCAGGGCACAGCAGGGCTGGCACAGGGACCCTCGCTGCTGAGCATGGCTGGAAGGGGCAGGATAGCACTGCAGGGTCCTACCATCCCATTGTGGCCATGGGAGTCAGCAGAGCATCAACACTGGACTCCTGGGACTGGGAGCTATCCAGGGGTCTGGGCGAAGAAGTGACAGCATGACACTATCTGTCCAGGCTGACCTGATGCCGGCGGAGGCAGAAGTAGTCCTGGGAGCCCTCCTCGGTGTGCGGGCAGGGCATCAGGCAGAGGTCCCG